CTGTAAATAGAAAACCTGAGATACAAGCAGCAAGATTGAAATTGCCCGTTGTCGCGGAAGAACAAATTATAGTTGAGACAATAAATGACAATCCAATAGTCATAATTACGGGAGAGACAGGAAGTGGTGAGTAAAATTATTATAATTAACAGCAGTGAAAGATATCAGAGTTTGTTCATTTTTTAGAGAATGGCGATAATATTAGGCTAAGGACAATTTTTTTAGTGACCTCTTTTGTTTAATTACTCAATTCCGTTGCAGGGAAGACAACGCAAGTGCCTCAGTTTTTATATGAGGCTGGATATGCTCAAAATAAATTGATCGGGATAACCGAACCGAGAAGAGTGGCAGCGATGTCGATGAGCAAGCGTGTAGCTGAAGAATTGAATCTCTCCCAAAAGGAGGTTTCGTATCTGATTCGTTTTGAGGGAAATGTTACGGAGGAAACGAAGATCAAGTTCATGACCGATGGGGTTTTACTGAAAGAGATTCAAAGTGTGAGTAATATATCTTAAATTTCGTAGTACAATTTATATATCTGATGATATAAATATTACATCTTCAATTATATCTAAAATAATCTTTTTTTTATTTACAGGATTTCTTGTTAACAAAATACTCCGTGATTATACTCGATGAAGCGCACGAACGCAGCGTGTACACCGACATCCTGATCGGTTTACTGTCGAGGATTGTTCCGCTTCGCAACAAACGCGGCAACCCTTTGAAGTTGATAATTATGTCGGCTACACTGTCCGTGAAGGAATTCGTGGAGAATACAAAGTTATTTAAGATAAAGCCGCCGATAATCGAGGTCAAAGCGCGACAGTTTCTTGTAAAGATGCACTTTAATAGAACAACAAGCAAGGATTACGTCAACGATGCATTGCGAAAAGCGATAAAGATACATACTCGTCTTCCGGAAGGCGGTATATTAATATTTTTAACAGGTAAGAAAATCCATACAACACTATTTTTTTATATTATTATTACAATCAAATCTCCATAATTTTAACGATTTATTTGTCGCAGGTCAGCAGGAGGTGCATACGGTTGTGCGTAAATTACGCAAAGCGTTTCCGTTGAAGAGGATTAAACAGCCCCAAGTTAAAGTGGTGAACACCGAGAAAAGTGAAACCTCAGAAGCATCGGATAAAGAACAGGACGAGGAAAAAGACGATTTTGACGCCGAGGAAGCGTTGCGCCGTAATAAGCAGAGGCAAAAGAAGCAGATCATACTGCCAACTATTAATCTCGACGAGTATGTACATCCGTACTGCAATTATTTTACTGTTCTATGTGTTTTTTTGAAATTTATAAAATATATTTATGTTTAGTTATTCAATAAATCCTACCGATGACACGCACGAAGATTTGATCAACGCGCAGGACGATGACAACAACTTGGACGAGGATGAAGATGAGGATGAAGATGTGATTGATTTCAAGGGACTGACGAACGCGCAGCCATTATGGGTCTTACCTCTTTATTCCCTTCTACCCGGACACAAACAAGCCAGAGTAAATATACAGTTTAATAAATTAATAGTGATCCTTTTGATGTTAATCTCTGTAATAAAATTAATTGAAAGGATAGACCTGTTTCACGAGGAAATAATTAATTTTGTTTCTAATGATCTCAGGTGTTCGAGCCACCGCCGGAAGGATGCCGCTTGTGCGTGGTGTCCACTAACGTTGCGGAAACCTCGCTGACGATTCCCAACGTTAGATACGTTGTGGACAGCGGACGTTGTAAAATTAGGCTGTACGACAAAGTGACAGGCGTGAGCACGTATCACATTAGCTACGCGAGCAAAGCGGCGGCCACGCAACGTGCCGGCAGAGCCGGTAGAACTCGACCTGGTCATTGCTACAGGTATCTCAATTTACACGCGTAAAGATTTTTAGTACAATAAAGCACCTCGCAGATTTAGTCTTTTGCTTAGAAATTTTCAAAATTCCAGCCTTAGAAGCTCTATATTTAAAATAGCTCTTGTATGGATTAGGCACTTTAATCTCTTGCGTTGAAATCTTCATACGTGACGCTTTCTTTCACGTAGATTATACTCGTCGGCCGTGTACGACAACGATTTCGAGGAGTACAGTCAGTCGGAGATACAGAGGAAACCAGTGGACGATTTGCTGCTGCAGATGAAGACGATGAACATAGACAAGGTCGTGAACTTTCCGTTTCCCACGCCGCCGGATATCGTGCAATTGAAGTCCGCGGAGAAACGGCTCACGATACTCGAAGCGTTACAACCACCCTCGAAGAAGCAGGAAGGTAGTTGAACGTAAACATTTGTCATTTAGACGACGTTGAAAATTTCAGTCGTAGAATCGAAGCCACTTGGAGCTTATTATACGAATACAGTGATTCTTTTATCTAAAATGTTATTACGTTGTCGTAAAGCACAGAATTGTTGGTTCGTTGTTTAGAGATATACTGCGCGAAGGTGACGCCACTTGGACGCAGTATCGCCGCGTTCCCGGTGTCTCCGTGTTACGGCAAGATGCTGGCACTGTCGCATCAGCACAACTTGTCGAAATACACGATATGCATGGTGGCGGCTCTCAGCGTGCAAGAAGTGCTGATAGAGGCACTCGACATGGAGGGTTCGACTAAGAGCAAGTGGCTGCAAAAGCGCCGTTATTGGGCTGGGACCGGCAATAGTTTGCTTCTTGGTATGCAATGTCGTAATTTTCCATTTATGTAACGAATGTTACGAGTGATAAACGAGTGATAAATGAGATACTCTTTCTGTTTCTATGCACAGGCGATCCAATGGTTTTGATAAGAGCCATCGGAACTGCCGAGTACGCGGGATCGAAGGGAAGACTGTTGTCCTTCTGCGAGGAGAACGGCTTGAGACACAAGGCCGTGGTCGAGATCAGGAAGCTTAGGCAACAGCTCACCAATGAGATAAATTTAAACGTGCCGAATCTAAATTTAATCATTGATCCAAAGTATGTATTATTTTTTAATTTTCTAAATTTTTTACTAAAAACACTAATTTTATTCTGAATATTCTCTAGCTTCTGTATAGAATTCAGTAATCTTTTGGAGTGAAGGAAATTCTTAGTCCTTAATTAATTTTTTATTTGATTAATTTAAATTTTTTATATGATTAAATAATTAAATTTTGGATAATTAATTATATGATTATTAGATTTTTTGTATTGATTAATTTAGAAAACTGAATTTCGACTGATGAACAATGAGATTGCGACACTTTTTTTTAGTAAGTTTTATGAACGCGTGGTTTTTAACATTCTAATGTTTCTCAAATAATATTAAATAAATGATATAATTTGATATTAATATTAACATTTGGTATAGTATCATTTTAATTATATATAACATGTTTGTGAGTTTACGCATTCGTAAATTCACTGAAAAAAAGTGTCGCAACCTCATTGTCCATGGCTGTACATGTTGCAAAGTTAGAAATGTTTGTCTACAATGAGAAATTGTCTCTTACAGAATGCCGCTGCCGACCGACACGGAAGCGAAATTGCTGCGCCAGATAGTCCTTTCGGGTATGGCGGATCAAGTCGCGAGGAAGGTTTTGCCGGACGAGGTAAAGGAGGATCAGGACAAGGCCAAGTGGAAGCACGCTTACAGGTATGCTGTCAATTATCATCGATAATTGAGACTTAATTGATTACTTAATCAATCTCTCAATTCTGTCTTTTAGAACGCCAGAAATGGAGGAACCTGTGTTCATGCATTCCTCGTGCGTTCTACGGAAAACCAGCCCGGAATGGGTGGTTTATCAGGAGGTGTACGAAACGAATAAGATGTACATGCGAGGCGTCACGGCGATCGAGCCCGAGTGGCTGCCGAAATTCGCGCCCACGTTGTGCCGTCTCAGCGAGCCATTGGCTGATCCACCGCCAAGGTATTTTTACCTTGTTATATAGTTATTTTATAATTTCATCTTGTTACGTAATTATTTTATAATTTCTTTTTCACTTTCTAAAAATAATATTCTTTATTATATAATCGAATATATCATTAAAACTTTTATTTGCAGGTACAATCAAGGAACCGGAAAGCTCATCTGCCGTGTGTCCGGTACTTTCGGAAAAGCCGGATGGCCACTACCACCGATGGACATCGAGCACCCGTTGACGGTGGACGGTGTCAAGTGGTTCGCGTATTTCTTCCTGGAGGGTCAAGTGTGCCCTAAGCTGAAACGATTTGTCCCGTCGCTGCTGACGACACCTGGTAGCATCACCAAGTCGTGGGCCAAGTAAATTATCAAGTTATCATATCTTGCTTTCGATTTCACTCTGATTCATCGAATAGATTACGATAATCTAATTCTGCGATTTCTCCCCACAGGCTGATACCACGCACTCAAGCGATAGTACAAACGCTACAGTCGCAGGGAGTCATGTCCAAGGACAGACTAATAGACATCTGGGATTCGGACAAGAAATGTGAGACTATATTGATTTATATGTTATAATACTTCGTTAGATATAACATTATTATATATTTATGTAATTAATTTTGCACATCTTTTCGCGATTAAACGAGGAATGTTTTAATTTCAGTTCTGCTGCCTGCCTACCAGAAGTGGCTGCCGGAATCTGCGCATGCAGAAATAGCGCAGTTATGGCCACCTTTGTAATTAGGAATGTACATTAGGATTGTAATTAAATAGCTTTTTAATAATTAAATTGTTTTATAATGAAAAAGAAAATCGAAAAGTATGTATCAGTTTTACTTCAAGAGCCATGCTATCATCATAAAACGATCTGACAAGGATCGGACATTAATCAATTTTTAATTAATCAAGATTTAATACACTAGGAAAAGTTTTTGATATATGAATTTATCTTTTGAATGTGTTTTTTGATCCTAATTACGTTCGAATGTTGCAATTGATATTTCGAGTAGATCTTAAATATTCACAGCGCTTAGAAAATAAAATATGAATTTAATATCTTTGTATAAGATAAAACTACGTTTAACAAAAATG